CTCACTGTGAAGAACCCCCTTCGCCCCTTGTGCTGGAATTTCATATTACCCCCCAAATTGTGTTTATCAGCTATCTTATTACTTTTAATGCAAACTTAATGTTAGCAAAGGCCAGCAAAAAGGGACTTAGGGACAACATTTTACTAAAGCAACAATGAATCAGATCATGCAGCAAAGCCAAAAAGAGTCAAGTTACTTCCAAATTTGCATTGCCATTTAGAAATTAGCTTTATGATGTGTTTTAAAAGGGCTTTCAAAAGCATCAATCATTAGGACGTGTCACTGGCAACAAAGTACATTTGTCTTAAACGGTAGAAATGCTTCCAAGGGTCTCATTAATTAATTTACCGTAATGGCCACAAAGCTAGACTGCTGCCAATGGCTTTAATAATACATTTTCATGAGCCTCAGTGGGACCCGCAGCTTCTTGAATAGGACCCTAGAAATTGACATAACTGGAATACCTAGAACATTACCAGTGTTATAGTTATCAAGCATTTAATCTGTTTCCACTTCTAGAAGAGATTATTAAAATATGCCCAGCGAGAGTGCTGATGGATTTAAGAATAATACTTTTTTTACATAAACAAATTATTATGCCTTTTATCTTATAATCAAATTCAGCAGCTGAATGTTTGTTATTAAAACAGCATAATTTTATTTTGGAACAATCCACATTGTCGTGCATAAGAAACATCTGTGTGTTCTGGCCTTATGTATACAGTATAGCTCTTAGCAGTTCTACAAAGAGATGTCTTTTGGAGCCTATAAGGATGTAGAGATGTAATAAGTGCATGTAAAGACATTTGTACTGAAGATTTATTATTATTTGCTGGCAAATAGTTACAGTAAAAGACTTTGATTTACTTATAAAAAAAGTTTAAAGTGATGGACGTTTAGAATATGTTGCTGTAGTACATTTCAGGCGTCTGTGAAACTGAAGTTTTATAAATAAATAGTGTTGACTATATAATGTATATTCTATACATCACACACAAACAAGTCATACAATAGCAAGAGAAAACTGGGAAAAACATAGGTTATTGAGGGTATTGTCACTGCACATCAGACCGTACAGTTAACAATTGTTTCATCATTTGTACCTCCCAATCTTCTGCATTTATAGAGCCTAATATGGCAAATGCAAATACATTTATAGTGCTCAAGATTTACTTCTGGTTAGAGATTGATTGAATAAAACTGCTAATGTCAGGTTTGCATGCATTGCTGAACTATAGGTAGTAACTTATACAATTTCAATGGCTTTTAAGAGACACTAACAATATAGTCACCCTTCCGCATTCCATAGCCTCTTTGCTGCTTAATTGGAGCCCTCCCTTCTTTGCTGTGATTGAGCAGAACCTTTGGGTACGGGGAAATATGTGATGTCTCCCATCTGACAGTGGTTGGCCTGAGCCGCCAATCTTCAGGCCTAAACATTGTTAGGTAGGGGGGGAGGGAACAGCTAAGTCATCCTCCCAGGTAACCTCCAGTGCTTGATAGCCTTCCCCCGAGCAAGGTATCCTCACCCATTTCTATTCCATCCCCACTACCCTTCTCCATTTTGGTCCTCCCTTCCTTGTTCTAATGGAGCAGAGCTTCCAGGTTGGCATGGTGGAAAATTGGCATCTACGTCATCCTCCTATGTAAGCTTTAACAACATCCAACACTGGAGTTTACCTACAGTGGGATCCATAGCAGTAGGTGATGAGGGGTATTTGATCAGTGAGTATACCTTGTTGGGTGCGGGAAGGGTGGCTATCAGGAGGAATACAACATAATGGAATTTAAAAAAAGAGTATTTTTTTGCTACAAAGATTCTAATGGCAATCCTGGCAACATTATAACCTCAGGTGGATTTGTGTTTTATAGATTGGTAAGTTAATTATTAGAAGTGGCATTTGATGTGCTGTGTGGTGCTGTGTTGCTACAAGATTGGCACTTGGATGTTTTTTTTTAATATGCAGTTTTTAACCATAAAGTAAAAATCCATAACATAATTTTTGGTTTAGCATTTCTACTGTATGTCCCAGCACTATTTAAAAAATTACCAGGTCTCAGAGGCTGGCAGGTCCCAGTAAGGTTTAATGCTGCAAATACCTGCTGTTAGTAAAATGCCTGCCATTAGTTTAGAACATGCAGTCTTGTTACAGAGCACACAATTAAAGCCCACTGTAGGAGCATAGTGCAACATAATACTTCACATTGCATTTAAAGGAGATGCAGTGTGCTACCCTACCTTTTGCTTCCCAGTCTCGGGCTGGGCGAGGTACAAGCCCAGTATGTATAACTTAACTTCAGCATGGAAAACAAAATCAGGTTTCCTGTCCTGCCAGACATGGCTATATGACAGAGCTGTGTAAATCTGAGGATTGAATGCATAAAAATACAAATCCTCTGGCAGGTAAAACAGCTTTCTTGTATGTTTTTTATCTGTGTAATTAGCTGCTTAACTGGACTTCAGCGTTAAACATTTTTAAGATAAAACTCTGTGAAGTTGCATGACAGTTTCTTACTAATTTACTTAATTCAAAGCCCATTGATTTAAGACATTTTCATTTTTCTATGTCAGGGCTGGAAATTTCCTGGGATGGAGACAGCTTTGTAGAAGTGATGGCCGCTCCTCATTTAAAAGGGAAGCTCTGTGGTCTTTGTGGCAACTACAATGGACACAAGCGGGATGATCTTATAGGTAGTGATGGGAACTTCAAGTTTGATGTGGATGACTTTGGAGATTCCTGGAGAGTCGAATCTAATGAATTCTGTAACCGCCCTCGTAGGAAGACTGTGCCAGAGCTGTGCCAAGGAACTGTTAAGGTGAAACTTCGAGCTCACAGAGAATGCCAGAAGTTAAAGTCTTGGGACTTTCAAAACTGTCACTCCACTGTTGACTATGCTGTTTTCTATCGGTAAGTGTAAAACTAAGCAATCTTATTTTGTATGCCTTACTGTGTTGTTTAATCTTGTTTTTTTAGCTTTTATTATTACACAAAATTAAATTTTAGTTTTCATCAACTAAATACTTTAGGTCTATAAAAACAAATGGTCTGCAAAGTTTTACCGGTTGTCCACTCTAGAAACCTGCCATATCTTGAGCAGGGAAGCCTGTCCCCTGCCAGTATGTTTCAAAGAAGTATCACTTTTGCATGATAGTTTGTATTGTTTATTTATCCAACACTCAAGAGATCTCTGCTCTTTACAATGTCTGGTTTTATGACAAAGATTTTGTTACACTTTGCATTCCTAAAATATCTTTAAATAACCCAGAAAATACCTGTTTAAAATAGTGTTTTGGAGTTCTTGCAAAGCTCCTGTGGCTTCTTTGTTGAACGTGCTTCATGTGAGTCTTGTGTTCATTTTTCAAACAGGCAAATTTAGTATCAGTAATAATTCTGCTGAAAAGCATGGAACAGTGTATCATATTGCTTCTAGCCCTATAGTTAATTACTATATCACTTTGCCTAGGAATATTTCCCTGTTTTCATATTAATGTTACTTGGCCATAGACACTGTAGATTTAAATCACTGGCAACATCTAATTTTTCCTTTATTGCGTCAAAAGAAAGGACATCACGGACTTTCCTAGATGTAGGAGGAACGTGCTACAAAAACAGCATCTTGCAGACATTATATGAAATAATACAACTCACATAGATATCTAAACATTTTAAAGTGGACCTATAATTAACATATGAATTTTAAATAAATCAACTAAGCATGTATCTGCATTACCAAATCACATAATTATTTTAAGTAAAATAGTACCTTGAAATGAGTAAAAAATATGTTACTCCCAAATTAGTAACATTGCAGCACATGGTCTCTGGCTAGCAGTCATTGAAACCATAGAGTATATTGCTTTTACTCAGACAAACCTAATTCGAAAATCTTGTAATGAGAGAAGAGGATTAGGAATCTAAATATACTGATAGATAATTATAATTAAAAACTATACATCCAACAGTGTTATAAAACATAACATAAATTGACATTATATAAAGTGACTTTGCCACTTAAAAAAACTCTCTGTCATGTCCAGTACAGGCCTGATCATACCTCCAGCAGCCTGAAATCTACTAAATCCTGGGCTATTCTGAAGGGGAAAAGTTCAAAGGTAGGGATAAAACCAACCCATTATATCTCATGCACATTCCTATTGGCCAATGGGGCATCCTGTCAAGTTGATGGGCCAGTAGGATTGTATGTGAAGGTGGGAGGGTTATGGCATGTTTCAACATAACCATAGCTTTGCCTTATCAGAACATCCCAGAATTTTAACATTGATAAATATTGAAATTTATAACTGATAAGTGTATTTTTTTGGGTTTTTTTAAATAAATTCTTTATTTATCATTTTCATGAAATTTGTAACAA